GTGTCCCCAGGTGTCTCCTGAGCTCCCCACCCCAAGACTCCCCATTCCCACCCCAAAACCCACCAGAGATATCCACGGGCATGGAGATGCAGCGGCTCAGGGGTGGCTGCCCTGGGTGTCCCTGGCTGTCCTTGGGTGTCCCCTGGGTGTCCCCTGAGTGTCCCTGCCTGTCCCCTGGGTGTCCCCAGGTGTCTCCTGAGCTCCCCACCCCAAGACTCCCCATTCCCACCCCCAAAACCCACCGGAGATATCCACGGGCATGGAGATGCAGCGGCTCAGGGGTGGTTGCCCTGGGTGTCCCTGCCTGTACCCTGCCTGTCCCCTGGGTGTTCCCTGGGTGTCCCTGGGTGTCCCCTGGGTGTCCTCAGGTGTTCCCTGAGCTACCCACCCCAAGACCCCCCATTCCCACCCCCAAAACCCACCGGAGATATCCACGGGCATGGAGATGCAGCGGCTTAGGGGTGGTTGCCCTGGGTGTCCCTGCCTGTACCCTGCCTGTCCCCTGGGTGTTCCCTGGGTGTCCCTGGGTGTCCCCTGGGTGTCCTCAGGTGTTCCCTGGGCTACCCACCCCAAGACCCCCCATTCCCACCCCCAAAACCCACCGGAGATATCCACGGGCATGGAGATGCAGCGGCTCACGGGCGGCTGCCCTGGTTGTCCCCAGCTGTCCCCTCCCTGTCCCCTGGGTGTCCCTGGCTGTCCCCATCTATCCCCTGAGCTCTCCACACCAAGACCCCCCATCCCCACCCCCAAACCCACCAGAGATATCCACGGGCATGGAGATGCAGCGGCTCAGGGGCGGCGGCGGCGGCACCGGGGTCTCCAATCCCACACTTTTCAGCAGCTCGGCTGTAAGATCAGACACACCCCCCCTTGTGAGCCCAGAGGGAGCAGCAGAGCCCCCCAAAAGCAGGGGGAGGGTCCCAGCACCCCCTGGGCAGCCCTACCCTGCTCCCGGCCCTCCTCGGCGCTGCCCAGGCCCCTCTTGCTGTGCCGGACGGGGCTGGTGCGGGCGGGGTGGCCGGGCTGGGGGAAGAGCCTCAGGGGCTGCATGTCCTGGAACAGCAGAGGGGAGGGGGTCATGGTTGGGTTGGGGATGGCCAAATCCTGAGGAGGAGTTTAGGAAGCAGAAGAATCTTTTCTGGCCTTTTTCCATCAATTCTGCCCCGATCTCCCCCCGCCCCCGCAGGACTCACGTGGCTGAAGAGCTCGTTGGTCAAGCCCAGGTAGTTGTGCAGGGCCAGGAAGGTGACGCGCTGCAGTCGCACCATGATGATCTGAGGGGGGACAGGAGGCCACCGGTGACCCCCTGCCAACCCAAAGGACCCCCCCGCAGTCCCCCAGCCCCCACCTCACCTGCACCACCCGCACCAAGCTCTCGGGGTACTTCTCGAAGATGGCGGAGAAGGCCTCGACCGGCAGGCGCAGGATGGTGGAGTCCTCGGCGGCGCGGGCGCACACTGTGCGGTACGGCCGCTGGTGGCCCTGCGGGACACGGCTGTTGGGGAGGCCTGGCCAGCATTGGGAGCTCCAGTCCGGCCCTGGGTGGGGTTTGGGGGGAGCTGGGAGGTGGAGAAGTCTGAGGGTGGCATGGGGGGTTGGGCCGATTGGCGTTGGGATGGCCATGGTTGGGTTGGGGATGGCCATGGTTGGGTTGGGGATGGCCATGGCTGGACTGGAGGAGTTGGGGGATGGCCATGGTTGGGGTTAGGGATGGTCAGAGTTGGGTTTGGGGATGGTCATGGCTGGGGATGGCCATGGTTGGGTTTGGAGATGGCCATGGTTGGGTTGGTGTTGGCCATGGTTGGGGTTGGGGATGGCCATGGTTGGACTGGAGGAGTTTGGGGATGGTCATGGTTAGGTTTGGATATGGCCATGGTTGGGTTACTGCTGGCCATGGTTGGGTTGGTGTTGGCCATAGTTGATTTGGGGATGGCCATGGTTGGGTTTGGGGATGGTCACACTTGGACCGGGGGCGTTTGGGGACAGCGTCGGTACCGTGATGACATCGAGGATGCTGAGCAGGCTGTGGACACTGTCCCCAGGGAACACCTCCTTCATCACCGTCTCCTTCCCGTCCTGCCGAGCACAGAGCCCTTTGTTCCTTCCATCCCCAGTGCCCCCATCCCATCCCTGTCCCCAGGGTGTCCCCTGGGCGTCCCCTGAGTGTCACTGGATGTGCTTAGGTATCCCCTGGTTGTCCATGTGTGTCCCCAGATGTCCCTTGGGTGTCCCTGCGGGTCCCCTGGGTGTTCCTGGATACTCCCAAGTGTGTTCAGGTGTCCCCTGGTTGTCCCCTGGCTGTCCCTGGCTGTCCCCTGGCTGTCCCCGGCTGTCCCCTGGCTGTCCCCTGGTTGTCCCCAGATGTTCCCTGGGTGTCTCCAGCCATTCCCAGATGTCCCCTGGCTGTCCCCTGCCTGTCCCTGGCTGTCCCCAGATGTTCCCTGGCTATCCCCTGGCTGTCCCCAGATGTTCCCTGGCTGTCCCCTGGCTGTCCCCAGATGTTCCCTGGGTGTCTCCAGCCATTCCCAGATGTCCCCTGGCTGTCCCCTGGCTGTCCCTGGCTATCCCCTGGCTGTCCCCTGGCTATCCCCTGGCTGTCCCTGGCTGTCCCCTGGCTGTCCCCTGGTTGTCCCCTGGCTGTCCCTGGCTATCCCCTGGCTGTCCCCTGGCTGTCCCCTGGATGTCCCCAGTTGTCCCCTGGCTGTTCCCTGGCTATCCCCTGGCTGTCCCTGGCTATCCCCTGGCTGTCCCCAGGTGTCCCCTGGCTGTCCCCAGCTGTCCCCTGGATGTGCCCTGGCTGTCCCCAGGTGTCCCCTGGCTGTCCCTGGCTATCCCCTGGTTGTCCCCTGGCTATCCCCTGGCTATCCCCTGGCTGTCCCCTGGATGTCCCCTGGCTGTCCCCTGGATGTCCCCAGTTGTCCCCTGGCTGTCCCCGGCTATTCCCTGGCTATCCTCTGGCTGTCCCCTGGCTGTCCCCTGGATGTCCCCTGGATGTCCCCTGGCTGTCCCTGGCTGTCCCCTGGTTGTCCCCTGGCTGTCCCCAGCTGTCCCCAGGTGTCCCCTGGCTGTCCCCAGGTGCCCCTTGGCTGTCCCTGGTTGTCCCCTGGCTGTCCCCAGGTGCCCCTTGGCTGTCCCCTGGCTGTCCCCTGGCTGTGCCCTGGCTGTCCCCTGGCTGTCCCTGGCTGTGCCCTGGCTGTCCCCAGGTGCCCCTTGGCTATCCCTGGCTATTCCCTGGCTGTCCCTGGCTGTCCCTGGCTGTCCCCTGGCTGTCCCTGGCTATCCCCAGGTGCCCCTTGGCTGTCCCTGGCTATCCTCTGGCTGTCCCCTGGCTGTCCCCTGGCTGTCCCCGGCTATCCCCTGGCTATCCTCTGGCTGTCCCCTGGCTGTCCCCGGCTATCCCCTGGCTATCCCCTGGCTATCCCCTGGCTATCCCCTGGCTATCCCCTGGCTGTCCCCAGCTGTCCCCAGGTGTCCCCTGGCTGTCCCCATTTGCCCCTTGGCTGTCCCTGGCTGTGCCCTGGCTGTCCCCAGGTGCCCCTTGGCTGTCCCCNGGCTGTCCCCAGGTGCCCCTTGGCTGTCCCCGGTTGTCCCCTGGCTGTCCCCTGGATGTCCCCTGGCTGTCCCCAGGTGCCCCTTGGCTGTCCCCTGGCTGTCCCCAGGTGCCCCTTGGCTGTCCCTGGCTGTCCCCTGGTGCCCCTTGGCTGTCCCCTGGCTATCCCCTGGCTGTCCCCAGGTGTCCCCTGGCTGTCCCCAGGTGTCCCCAGCTGTCCCCTGGCTATCCCCTGGCTGTCCCCTGGTTATCCCCTGGTTATCCCCTGGCTGTCCCTGGCTATCCCCTGGCTATCCCCTGGCTGTCCCCAGGCGTCCCCAGGTGCCCCCCCGTGCCCTCACCGGCTCGGTGAGCAGCAGCTCCAGTTTGCCGTCCTGCAGGACGTAGATGCTGGTGTCGGGCTGGCCGGGCCGGAACACGTACTCGCCCTGCTGGCACTGCTGGAACACCATGTGCTTGCACAGCTCCAGGAACAGCGGCTTCTCAAAGTGCCCCAGCACCCTGCGGGCACAGCCGGGGCACAGCAGGTGACACCGAGCCCGCTGCCACCTCTCCAGGTTGCCATGGAGATGGGGACGCAGGAGAAGAGCGGCCGGGGGCACCGGGGTCCAGACTCCGCTGGGAAATGGTGGCCAGGGGGGATGCTGGTCCCTCAGGGGGAATTCTGGTCCCTCACGTGGATCCTGAGCCCCAGGGATGGATTTGATCCCCCCAGGATAGATCCTGACCTCCAGGGAGGGATCCTGATCCCTCAGGGGGAATTCTGGTCCCTCGGGTGGATCCTGAGCCCCAGGGATGGATTTGATCCCCCCAAGATAGATCCTGACCTCCAGGGAGGGATCCTGATCCCTCGGGTGGAATTCTGGTCCCTCGCATGGATCCTGAGCCCCAGGGATGGATTTGATTCCCCCAGGATAGATCCTGACCTCCAGGGGGGGGATCCTGATCCCTCAGATGGATCCTGAGCCCCAGGGATGGATTTGATCCCCCCAGGATAGATCCTGATCTCTAGGGGAGGCATCCTGATCCCTCAGGGGGAATTCTGGTCCCACGGATGGATCCTGAGCCCCAACACCCTGATCCCATGGATGGGTCATGACCACCAAAGATGGATTCTGACCCCACTGAGTCTGATCCTGACCCCCAGGCCCCTGACCCCGAACTCCCCCATGATGGACGCCAATGCCAGGGCCGGATCCCGATGCCAGGGACAGACCCCGATCCCAGGGCCGGATCCTGATGCGAGGGTTGGATCCCCATCCCAGGGTCAGATCCCGATGCCAGGGCCAGACCCTGATGCCAGGGCTCGATGCCAATGCCAGGGACAAACCCCAATCCCAGGGACAGACCCCGATGCCAGGGACAGACCCCGATGCCAGGGCTGGATGCCAACCCCAGGGACAGACCCCAATCCCAGGGACAGACCCCAATCCCAGGGACAGACCCCAATCTCAGGGCTGGATCCTGATTCCAGGGCCGGATCCCCATCCTAGAGACAGACCCCGATCCCAGGGACAGACGCTGATCCCAGGGCCGGATCCCCATCCCAGGGCCGGATCCCAGTGCCAGGGCCGGATCCCAGTGCCAGGGACAGACCCAAGTCCCAGGGGCGGATCCCCATCCCAGGGCCTGATCCCGCTGCCAGGGACGGATCCCCATCCCAGGGACAGACCCCAATCCCAGGGCTGGATGCTGATCCCAGGGCTGGATCCCGCTGCCGGGGCCATCCCCGCTGCTCACCGGACGTTCTTGAGCATGTAGAGGACCTCGGAGGGCAGGTGGGAATTGGCCACGTCGAACTCGGTCAGGTCGGCCTCCAGCACCGCCGGCGGCGGCTCCTTCAGCTGCAGCGTCGGCTGCTCCTTCCGGATGCGCAGCAGCCTTGGGGACACCCGGGGGACACCGCGTTGGGACGCCCGGATGGCACCGGGATGGTGCCACCGCCCCCCAAAACCGACGGTGCCCCCTCCTCACTTCTTGGCGATGTTGAGCATCTTCAGCTTCTTCTTCATGCGGGGCCGGGAGGTGCTGGAGATGGTGGTGTCCACCAGGGACGACGTGGACTGGGACACCTGGGGGTGGGGACGATGCCCTGGGGTGTCACCCACCGGTGGCCTCACGGTGCCACCCCCAGGTGCTGCCAACTCCCCCCGAGCGTCACCTTGCGCATGATCTTGCGGCCGTAGAAGAGCATCTTGTCCCTCTTGCGGAAGCGGTACCGGGGGGTCTCCTGGGTGGGCACCTCTGGGGACACACGGGGGACACGGGCTGAGGGGTGTGGCACTGTCACCCCCCCGTCCCCGAGGCCACCGGGGCCGTGTCACTCACCCTTAAGGCGCAGCCGGTGCAGCAGGGCCACGACGGCCGTGACGACGACGACGACGGTGAGGCCGAGGCCCAGGATGGCCCCCAGCACCTGGGGAGGGACAGGGGGGTCCCCACGCGGTCCCCGAGGTCCCCACGGGGTCCCCGAGGTCCCCACGGGGGGTGAGCGATGGCAGGGCCACCATGGGGACGTGGAGGGAGGGGAGGGGATGGGCGGGATCGGGGACCAGGACACGTCCCCAGGGGACAAGAGTGTGTCACCTCAGGGGTGCTGAGCAGCACTGGGGACACGAGGACACTTTCGTGTCACCTCAGGGGTGCTGAGCAGCACTGGGGACACGAGGACATTGTCCCCAAGAACACGGGGACACTTTTGTGTCACCTCAGGGGGTGCTGAGTAGCACTGGGGACATGGGGAAACTGTCCCCAAGGACATGGAGACATTTCTGTGTCATCTCAGGGGGTGCTGAGCAGCACTGGGGACACAAGGACATTGTCCCCAAGAACACGGGGACACTTTTGTGTCACCTCAGGGGGTGCTGAGCAGCATTGGGGACATGGGGAAACTGTGCCCAAGGACATGGGGACATTTCTGTGTCATCTCAGGGGGTGCTGAGCAGCACTGGGGACACGAGGACATTGTCCCCGAGGACACGGGGACATTTTTGTGCCACCTCGGGGGGTGCTGAGAGGCACTGGGGACATGGGGACACTGTCACTGGTGGTATAGGGATATAGAGACACAGGGACAAGGGACATGAGGACATTGGGATATAGAGACACAGGGACACGGGGACACAGGGACAAGAGGACATGAGGACATGAACATGTGAGGACATGGGGACATGAAGACATGGGGACACAGGGACATGGACACGTTGGGACACATTGGGACACAGTGGGACACATTGGGACACAGGGACAAGGGGACATGAGAACACTGGGGCCATGGGGACACAGAGCCACGGGGACACGAGGACATGGGTACACAGGGACACAGGGACATGAGGACACAGGGACACGAGGACACAGGGACACGGGGACACAGGGACATGGACACATTGGGACACATTGGGACACAGGGACAAGGGACATGAGGACATGAACATGTGAGGACATGGGGACACAGGGACATGGGGACACAGGGACATGGACACATTGGGACACATTGGGACACAGGGACAAGGGGACATGAGAACACTGGGGCCATGGGGACACAGAGCCACCGGGACATGGGGACACGGGGACACAGGGACACGGGGACATGAGGACACAGGGACATGAGGACACAGGTACACGGGGACAAAGGGACACGGGGACATGGGGACACGGGGACATGGGGACACAGGGACATAAGGACACGGGGACATGGACACATTGGGACACATTGGGACACATTGGGACACATTGGGACACAGTGGGACACAGGGACAAGGGGACATGAGAACACTGGGGCCATGGGGACACAGAGCCACGGGGACATGGGGACACGGGGACACGAGGACATGGGGACACAGGGACATGGGGACACAGGGACATAAGGACACAGGGACATAGGGACACGGAGACACAGGGACACAGGGACATGGGGACACAGGGACATGGGGACACAGGGACATGGGGACACACAGGGATATGGGGGGACACAGGGACATGGGGACACAGGGACATGGGGACACAGGGACATGAGGACACAGGGACACAGGCACACAGGGACACAGGGACATGGGGACACGGGGTCACAGGGGCACAGGGACACAGGGACACTGTCCCCTCACCGCGCTGGTCGGGAGTCGGTCGGTCAAGAACCGCGGCAGCACCGCCCTCAGGGGCCCGTCCTGTGGGGACAAGGGACAGCTGAGCCCTGGGGACCTCCAGGGGTGGGGACAAGGGACAACTGAGCCCCAGGGACTTCCAGGGGTGGGGACAAGGGACAACTGAGCCTCAATGACCCCCAGGGTGGGGACAGGGGACAACTGAGCCCCACTGACCCCCAGGGGTGGGGACAAGGGACAGCTGAGCCTCAATGACCCCCAGAGTGGGGACAAGGGACAACTGAGCCCTGGTGTCCCCCAGGGGTGGGGACAAGGGACAGTTGAGCCCCAGGAACCCCCGGGGTGGGGACAAGGGACAGCAGAGCCCCAGGGACCACTGGGGTGGGGACAAGGGACAGTTGAGCCCCAGGGACCCCCGGGGTGGGGACACTGAGGTGACAGGGCCATGTCCCACCTCGGCCTCGTCCTGTGGCTCCGACTCGCTCTGCCCCATGGCCGGGGGGGGCTCTGCCCATCCAAAGTCCTGCCAAAACGGGGCACAAAGGGACAAAAAGGGACAAAAAGGGACAAAAAGGGACACTTTGTGACACGGGGACACCCAGGTGACACCCCAGTGACACCTCACA